TAATTAAGTTGGTTTGGAAAATATTAGATTATTTGGGAGGCAACTTTATTAAGTAGATAGAAGAATTACTTTCATATAAATATAATTTTTAGCCCTTCTTTCGATATCTTTTGCTTGTGATAGTTTTTACGATGGTGTGTAAAATTGACTTTATCAAAGATATAACTTATAGTAGAGAACTTTGCAAATTTTAACGTTTTATTTGTATGTGAGTTTTGCTTTATATGTTATGTTTAATTACGATACATATTAATATATATTAATATTTGTGTTTGCACAAATTTAATTGATGTTTTATGCGAAATTAGAAAAAGGTAATGTAAACAAAATAATATTTAGCATGAAATATAACATCCCAATTTAGTAATATAGAATTATTAAAGACAACATTAAATAGATAATGTTATAACGAGAACTACAACTTTACGAAGAATAAAATTCTTCACCTGAAGAACAAACACACCACTTACATTTCAAGCTTCACCCCCAACCTCCCGCTGAGTCAACTGAAAGATTGTATCCTTAAGCTCACACCATGAAGGTGATCATCGCAATAGAGAAACAGCAAACAAGACAGACCATAGAAATGCAAGGGTAAGCTAGTTTAAATAAAAGTTTAAGATATTATATTTATCATCTATAATACATACAATTACCCATAATAATTTTCCAACCAAATACACTTTATGCATGACACCACAATGAAATGACAGTCCGGACTTAGAATGATTGTCGAGCTATGGCGGGTTGTGCACTCATGATGGCTTCTACTGCTTTGCAAAGCCATTGCCAATGGATTTCACCCTACCACACTCATGAGGTTAGTCCGTTATCACTCATTTTGGATCATACTGGAAGCACCCAAGACTAGGACCTCTTACTACTCCTCACGACATGGATCAATCATCTCTACTTGAGAATGAAAGACCATTGGAGTTTTAGGATAACCCCCAAGACTGAGCTCCTGCATTCATTCTAAACATACTTGAATCTCAACTTGAGAATTCACTTTGGATCACAACATACGACACAACCATGTATCCTCTCCTTGAGAATCATGGAATTACGTCCATTAACCACACTTTGGAACCACATACTTTCACTTTAAATCACAACACAGGGCACCACCATGTAACCTCTCCATGAGGTTCATGGAATTACGTCATACTTTGAACTTTACTCTTTGAAATCACCAACTTCCACTTTGAAACACAATTTACAACAACAACCAATGATATAACATAATACAACTCCAACATACTTCATAAGGCATTCAATGTTTCATTTAAAACAACTTAAGATCAAAAGAAAAGTGAACTAGAACTGAACCCCTCGCACAACACATACATTCGCATAGCGAAACTAGAGGCTTCTCGCACAACGACATAGCTCGCTGTGCGAATCCTCAAACAGAGACCCAACCCTCTAAACCATTCGCATAGCGGTTAGACTCGTTATGCGAATAACCCGCGACTTGAATCAGACTCCAGACCACTCGCATAACGTCCCAGCTCGCTATGCGAGAACCTCAGACAACGGCTCATGCTCCTTAAGCACTCGCAAAGCGAAACCCATTCGTTGTTCGAATAAAAAGAATAATAACCCAGACCCCAACCAGTAGCATAACGACTTGATTTGTTATGCGAATCATCAAACAGAGAGAACCCCTCTCAATCCATTCGCACAGCACACCCATTCGCTGTGCGAATGCCTCGGCAGAGAGTATCTCGCCAAGGTGACTCGCTATGCGAATCCATTCGCACAGCGAGTCTGCATAATCTGCAGAACAAAAATTCTGCAGAATTATGCAACTCAACCACAACTTACCAATTGTACTCAATTTTCCCAACTTTTAACACTCCTAGATTGTTGTACAAACTTAATTAGACTTGACTGAGTGATTCTAACCTTTCACAACATCAATCTAAGTTGATTATGAACCAAATTCTATTCCAAAACTACAAATTTCTCAACCTAGAGACCCAAATCCTATTCTACCACTTTTCACAGTTTCGTGAACCACTTAGGGACTCAAATAAGTCCCAAAAAACTTGTCTAAGCTATCCCAAAATACCACTTCCAACTCCTAATCCACAAATTCACTACTCCACTTCCTCAAAATTGACCTTCTACAAGCATAATTCATTTCAATTTCATACCAAACATTCTCATAACTGATTTTCACTATTTCACACATCCAATTATTGTTCAAAACAACAACCAAACAGATTCAATTACTCAGATTATCAAATGTGCACATGACCACAATCACATTACACATAATATACATCTAAAACCAAGTCAATTTGCTAAATAAACTGTTTTCAGCTCAATAATCACAATTCATCATACATATATTACTCAATCCTAGCTTAAAATAGATGTAGCTTCCCTTACCTCTACACAGCGGCACCACTCAAGAGTTCCCCCCCCCCCCGACAGTTGGTTGCACCACAAGGTATTTCTAAGAAAACCTACGATTCACCGATTGGTGAGGAAAAACTAGTCTTAAAACCAAATTGAAGCCAAGGATTGAAGGAAGATACAACAAATTACATGCAAACAGAATTTGCTGCATGCTTAAAACTTACCAGCTGAAGAACAAGAAACTGATCGGTCAAGATTGTTTCCTTCAACGCTAGGATCGCTAGGCACCTCCTGATCGTCAAACAGATAACTCAATAGAGGGAAAATCTAGAGAGAAGGCAGAGAACTCTAGGAAAGTGGTTTCTAGAGAGATGATACATTTTAAAATAATGAAACTCGTTTAGAACAAAATTATTTATAACCGTTTAATATTAAAATAATCGAGTCTCACTATTTTTAGACTATCACTACTTCTAAAACACCATTTTCTGGGGTTTTACATGAAAGACCTTAAGTAATTTCATTCGTATTTTCTATACTACAATAAAACTAACAAATATTGATGTTTGATTTTAATTATTGTAGTGATGAGATTAATAGTTTCATAAAAAATTTAGTTTATATTTTTATATTATTTTGAAACTTTAAAACTAATGCTTAATTTATAGGATTATAAGGTACAATACTGTAGTAATTTACTATTATTTAATTAGTTTATTTTATATGTTTTTAGCTTTTAAATTTTGATCTAAAATAAAATTTATTCATATTCTAAATTATGATAGAGTTTGTTCATCAAATTTTAGAAAAAATAATTAATAGATAGTTATTATAACCTAACTTTTTTAATTTTTTGTTATTCTTTTACATGTTAAATGACATATTAAACTTGATATTTGAGTTATTTATATTATTTGACACATTTAAGTTCAAACCCTAACTTAAAATGTTGTTAATTCATAAAAAAAAAATTAACATCATTAAATTAAAAAAGTTTGATAGTCAAATTTAAAAATTGAATAGATATAGTCTTTTAACCCAACTACATCATTTTTGTGACATGTTAAACAACATTTCAAAATTATATTTAAATTATTTATATCATTTCAACTTAAACATTAACTTGAAATGTCATTAAAAATTAAAAAATAATTGGCTTAATACCATTTTTTGTCTCTATTTTCATCAGTTTTGTCTCTATTTTCATCAGTTTTGTTCGATGTGAGACTCATTTTTGAGACTCATTTTTTTCGAATGTTCAATGTAGTCCCTTATATCGTAATTTATGTTCAATTTTGTCCTTTTGGCTAACGGCGCTTAAATCGTTAACAACACATCACCAATAAGTGAATTACATGGCAGTTATTGGCTGACGTGTCTAGGACCAAAGTTGACTAAGGATGGTCACGCTAATGAGGGCTTGACATGTGGCAACCCCTTTCTTCACCTAAAAATTAAGGTTTCGTATTTGCATCTGCAAATTGGGGAAAAGTTTGCTCCAGTGCCATTCAAGAAGGCGTGGTGGAGAAGCTTGCGGAGAGGCGTTGGTGCGGCGGTTGAAGATGATTGCGTGATTCGGCTTTGCGTTTCTACGATTAGGGTTTTATTCGTGAGAGGTTGGTGATGATGTTGGTGCCTCTTCATCATTACGGTGTGAATCGCGCTTCTGATTTGAAGGAGATTTCTGGTTTTGTGGGTTTTGATCTTCTGTGTTTCAAGTTGATGGTGGCTGGTAGAGAATGAAGAAGCTTCACGACGACGTTGCTCAAAGGCGCGAGGAACTCGCGATTCGGTTTTGCAATGCTTGTGGCGAAGCGTTTGGAACAACAACACGGCTAGTGAGTGATATGTCCGCGAAAGGTTTTTGGTTAGGGTTTCGAAATGTTTGATGATGGAGGTGCGAAGATGGTGGCTGACCGTGAGTGTGGAACCGACGACTATGGTTAAGTGGTGGCTAGGGTTTCAATGTAAGGGGAAATTAGGATTTCTGGAGATAGAAAAATGATAATGACGTGTCAAAGATAATGTGTCACTGATTGTTATTGTGGACATTTTGTCGTTAACGCAAAAATAGGAAACAAAAATGGTATTAAACCAAAATAATTTATCGTCATTAAATTATAAACTATATCCATTCATTTATATAAAATTTGAGATAAAAATAAAATTCAATTTCATATTTAAATTTATGAAATACAAACATATTTAACTTTTTTTTATTAATAATATCCAAATCTCAATTTAATTATAGTCAAACCATTAAATTTAGAATTTTCCACAACCAAGTATTAAAAACATTAGAATATAAACATATTTATGTTAAAATATACAATTATATATATATATATATATATATATATGTATAAGTCAAGCTTTTATTTATATATTATCACATCCATATTTCAACAAAATCGTCCTTGGGTTTTGTTATACAAAGTGACAAGGAGTAATATTTTCCTTAAAGAAAAAGTAAAATTATGAAAAGACAGAAGGTTTCAATAGCATATTGGGGGTGTTAATAGAAACACCCTAAATTTGTGTAGTTCTTCGGCTTCACAGAAAAAAAATATAAAAAAAAGGATAATGAGAATTGAGAACGTTGACAGACACCACAAGTTGTGGAAATAAGAGGAAGACATGTCCCTCACTTCACCTCCACAGGTCCAAAGCAAGAAAAATAAAATAAAAAATAAAAAATAACATAATGAATTATCCAACTCCACTTTCAATGTTGTCCACCCTTCTCACACCCTGCAAGTGTTCAAATTCACAGAAGCCATGGTCGTAAACCTCTCTCCCTCTCCACTTTTACATTCCAGTTCCATTATTAGATTGGTCAATTCCAAGTCACCCATTTCAGAATCTTGGCGCAGGCTCAAAACCCATTTCCCAAAACCACTTCTTTCCCCTTCTTTTGCCTCCCCCAGCGTGAACTTCGCGTGCAAAAAGCAGTTTTTGCATGGAAACAGCAGGAACAGGTTGGATTTTAGGACTTTGTCTATTGCTGGATTTGACTATGGGAACTTTGAGGGGCCTCAGTCTGTGCTTGAGGCTGCTGCAGTGTTGACAGCTATCATTGTTGTGCATGAGAGTGGTCACTTTCTTGCTGCTTATCTCCAAGGCATCCATGTGAGTAAGTTTGCTGTAGGGTTTGGTCCAATTTTAGCGAAGTTTAATGCCAAAAATGTAGAATATTCCATCAGGGCTTTTCCTCTAGGGGGCTTTGTGGGGTTCCCTGATAATGATCCAGAGAGTGATATTCCTGTTGATGATGCGAACTTACTTAAGAACAGACCAATATTGGATAGGGTGATTGTTGTTTCAGCTGGTGTTGTTGCTAACATAATTTTTGCATTTCTTATTATCTTTGCCCAAGTCCTGTCTGTTGGCTTGCCTGAGCAAGAGGTCTTTCCTGGGGTGAGTGTGCCTGATGTTAGACCCTTTTCAGCTGCTTCCAGGGATGGATTGCTTGCCGGAGATGTGATCCTTGAGGTTAATGGTAGTGAGTTTGCTAAACCAGGTCCTAGTGCAGTTTCTGAAGTTGTTGAGATCATCAAGAGGAACCCTAAGAGGTATGTTTTGCTCAAGATTAAAAGAGGGGGGCAGAATTTTGATGTAAAGGTCACCCCAGATGAGAATTATGATGGAACTGGGAAAATTGGAGTGCAGCTGGCCCCTAACGTGAAAATAGGTAAAGTTAAGCCAAAAAATTTGGGGGAGGCGGTAGAGTTTACTTGGAAAGAGTTTTGGGGACTATCATCTAATGTTTTAGATGGGTTAAAACAAACATTCTTAAACTTCTCACAGTCAGCTAGTAAGGTTTCAGGTCCTGTGGCCATTATTGCTGTTGGTGCTGAGGTGGCACGGTCGAATATCGATGGTCTCTTCCAGTTTGCTGCAATACTCAACATTAACCTTGCGGTTATAAACCTTCTTCCTTTGCCTGCTTTAGATGGAGGCACATTAGCACTGATCCTCGTTGAGGCTGCCAGGGGTGGGAGAAAGTTACCATTGGAAGTGGAGCAAACTATTATGTCTTCTGGAATTATGCTTGTTATAATTCTGGGGTTATTCCTTATTGTTCGTGATACCCTGAACCTTGAATTTATCAAAGACTTGTTGTGATTATAGTGAATTGTAGTTGGTAGTGAGCTTCAGAAAGTATTTTTCGTGATCCTCATCTGCAATGCTGTTGCACCAGTGTCTTAGCCAGTGCTATATCTGTAGAGGAGGTAAGGTAAGTTTCTTCCTCCAAGGATGTTATGTGAGAAGCATCCCTTTGTTACCAATTCATTGATCTGATCCGGATTGAATTTGTGATCCTGGAATATAAACTTACAAGTTACAAATACTAGTTTTGATTAAGAATTTTAATATCTTCTCTCTCCTTGCATTTTCTTTGTAATTCATGGATCTTGATAATTTATAGGTTACAACTTGATATGGATTCCCGTTCCTCTGTAGATTTCATTGATTTGACTATGCTTCAATGAAGCATTAATACAAAGCACAATCTGTGCTTAATTTTTTAGTCTTCTGGAATTGACTTATACTTTCTTTTCTTTGGGAATGAGAGAGTGTAGTGATGCTGTGTTTATGAAAAAGAGAGTCCAATATATGTCCAAAATTTAACTGTTTGGCATAATTGCAATAACTTCTTTGCTACATTACATGTCTTGCTATGAACTAGATCATTTTGTATGCAATTCCTCTTCAATTAAATGAACTAAGTAATAAAGATCAACCAAAGTATTCTCCATCTACCAATATTTTCTGGTTAGCTAGCCAGGGCGTTCGCATGAAACATAGAACAGAGGTGAATAGCGGGAATTATTTTTTAGATTATGGTGGGAGAAATGAGTGTCAAACTGAAAAATCGCAACTGTTTCTAATTGGTTAAAATCTACTAGTTTTCCTTCCCCTTAAAAGTAGGGAATGAAAGTGAAATATGCTGGTATAAGAATTGGAACTAAGATTAGCATGTGACTGCATATTCATACCAAGTTGTCAAAACTGGTAATTTAGTATGACCATCATAACCATCAAGCTATAGCAGATATGAGTGTAAATTCTCAAACAAGAGAACAGTGTAATTATAACTAGTTTATAGGGAGATCAGAGTAATTGGCCCAGGAAAATATGGCCAACAATGAATAGTGGGACTTGATAGTTATTTGCTTTTCAAAAAATTCTATTTTCTACTCCTTAAACCAGCTATCTTTATAAGGAATGGTACTGTACTGCTAAAGTCTTAACTCAGATGGCAAGTTCCCGTGTACCACTTCGACTAATGTGTGTTGGCAATCAGAGGATGAGAAGTGTATCATAGGCTTAAGCCAAATAGAGAGCATACTCAGGAGTAAACCATTGAATTCATAAGTGTGCATGGTGCTCTTATTTATAATATAAATTGGACACTAACAATAACAAACTCCCTAACTGTACTCTAATAAAACTTTATTCTCTTAGTATGCGTATGTGAAAAGACATTTGTTTGGTTCAGACACTTTAATGGAAGGGAGAGGAGATACTAGGTTGTCCACTTTTTCTTTGGTTTACAAGGGAAGGAGATATATTTTAAAAATTTATTTATTTTCATACTTTATAATTTTGGATTTCAAACTTAAATAAAATTATTTTTGTCAGTAAACTTAAATTTTTTTAAATCATCTCCCCTCTCCCAGCGAATCCCTCCAAAATTAGAGGAAACAAAAATTAGATGAAACATAAAAACTAAAAGAACAAGGTTTGAGAAAAACCATACCCTCTCTCCTCTCCAGTTCCCTCTAATAGTTGTTATTATGTTAGTGGAGGGACTTGAATCTACTACTTAGTATCACTCTCTCCCTTTCATTTTTACCACCAAATCATTCGTTGTGTGATTGACTTAATTAAGGCATATAGGAGATTAGGAAATATTATTGCCTTTCTGGTAGGTTATCAGATTATGAAATGGTGGTGGTATATGGACAGTTTACAAGGTGAAGCATGAAGATGTTCAATGAATGTAGTGATTAGTAGAAAGGTATTTCAATGAATGTAGTGATTAGTAGAAAGGAATTTCTCTGAATGGTATCAACTGTTTGTTTGTATACCTTAAGGCTAAGGATTGACTGTGAGATATTTCTAGAGATAAAGGTGAACCGGGATTGTCAAATCTTACCTATTTTACTTTCTGGGAATATCATTTTCTTTGAATGGGGTGCACCATTCTTAAATGATCAAGATATTGGACGCTTCTGTTAAAAAAAGATATACCAGTTTACGTGATAACTCTTTATTAAATACAAATCAACAAATCAAATTATTGAATGGTAAAATATTATCTTAATACACAATTAGTCTTAGATGTATTAAACATTATAAACATGCAGTTTGATATGGTAGTGTAAAGTAAAGTTAACTGAGAGTATTAACCAATATTTAAAGTATATGAAATTTCATGTTTGATATTTTGTGTATGCACTTGCATGTGTTCTTGTTGGATGTCCATAAGAAAATCCAAGACCTATAGCATGGGAAGAAGCATGTATATTGGAACCAGCTTGGTGTAAGAGATTCATATGGAGATCCTGTCATCATTGATCTCTGGATCTAGCCTCCACAATGATAATTATATATCCCTTATTTGTTGTTAAAGAATAGTTGAATGGAGAATATTAACAATAACATCGAATCCAAAAACATATATTCTTTTCATTAGAAAAAACAAAGGAAGAGGTAATGTATATATGTCCTTTGGTTTTTCACCCAAAATTGAGTATAATTTACCTATTTAATTTTGAAGGAAATATAATATTTTTCACCAAGAAGTTAGGTTAGGCCTACCTAGTGAGGGAATTTACATTAATGATGGTTACAGTCACCAAATAATAGATTATTTGTGTTCTCTCATTTTTAAGGAATGTGACTATTATTGATTCTATCTATAAATAATCAAGTCGTATGTTTACTAAATATCATATATGGTGAATACTTCCCATTTATAGTCTTAACATATTAATTATGTTACATTGTAATGTACAGTTTTCTGTCATCATATCTGTCTTGTTTATTAAATTCAGTTTTTGTGGACATTTTTTTTGGATGGTAGATCATGCTTGGATGCCATTATTTGTGTAATGTATAGGTTTCTCTGATAGAATTCAATTTATTAGTCTTTAAACCTTTTTCTGTCTAATCTTTATCCTTTGGAAGGGAAAGTTAATGGTATTTTTCTCTCTATAAAATTATCACTATATAGTTATGCACTAACTTAATAGAGTTAGACTTAGAGACAAAAGTGATGTTTCGAAAATTAGAATTAACATTAATAGTTTAATTTTTTAGGCAAAGATTGGTGATAAAGTTTATAAATATTAGTAAAAAGTTTATAAATAAAGTTTATAAATATTAGTAAAAAGGTATAAAAAATCTTGGATAGTTAGGTACAGGTGCTTTGCTTGACGTAGTTGATTAAAATAACAATCAGAAATTCGTGTTGCAGAAGCTTCGTCACGTCAAAAACCACTTGATGAATCATTCCAAAACTGTGATATTTCACAAAAATTAAATTGTCTAAAGTTTAACCCAACTTCCCTAAGAACTCATCTCATCCAATTATTATTCATACGTTTCTTCAATTCTTATTTCATTCTATGACATGACCATTAGAATAAAACTCTATGGTTTTCCTTTGCTTTCCTATAAATACAATAAATTAAGTTGGATAATTAATTTTTCACAACTATGGATAGAACATTGATTTTCAAGACTATTATGTAATAAAGAGAATATATCATTTCATATTGTCATTTTTTAAATAGATAATTTTAATCTTTAATAAACACAAATAAATTATTTATTTAATAAAATAAATAATTAAATAAATTATCTTTCTTTCAAAATGATTAAATATTTTTTTTAAATATCACAATATAATATTTTAATATTATATATAATATTATTTTAATATTTTTAATTAATAATTCATAAAAATAATAAAATTATATATTTTAATATTAAATTATTTTAATGTAATTGAAATGTAAATGCACATTTGGAGTGTATATATTTTCTTAGTTATAGATAATAAATTTATTATTAATTTTTTAAAACAACTTAGCATTTTAGAAAACTTTTATATAAAATAACTATTACAAAGAGAAGAAAATTATTTTCCACATCACTGCCTTCCACCCGAGATGCATTGACACTTATCTCTCATTTACTCATACTATGAAGTGATCATTGTTTAGAAACAAACAAACACAAGAAAATACAAAAGAGATGATACGGTAAACTAGTGTGCAAAAGAGTTATTCTAAAACAATTAAATCACATCAAATATAAGCTAAACATGGATTAAATACAATAAATTATATAGATACACACAAAAAGTTGACACTAGACTCCATTATCTGAATACATGCATTTGACATTGGACTTCATTGTAGACGTGAGTTCGTAGTAGTATTTATGTTTTGTAGAGTCATAAACAAAGGAATTATCACCATACTACTTATAAGAGTAATATAATCCCCTTCACGCCTAGGACCTAATTATCCAGTGGCTAGGACCTCTTGCGACTCTCACCACATAACTCAGTCTCCTCTATTTGAGTATGAATAGTTATTTAGAGTTTAGGATACCTACTAGCCCTCAAAATGTCAATGTATACACTAAGATCATCACTACAAAAAATTTCTCGTTGAATTTCTCTCAATACCACTAACATACATGTCCACAATAGGGATCATGACAAAAATATTTGTACTCATGGGTATCTGCGAATAAAATCTATAATGGATAGTTAGTATCCGCGGGTATTTATCCACTCATAAACGGGGTCAAGTGTGGGTAGCATTTTATTTGTACTCGCGAGTATCAATTACCACAAAAACATTAAAATAAAATTTAATTTATATTATGTGAAGTTAAATTTAATCAAAATTAAAAGAAATTTATATTTAATTTAATTTAATTTATATTTAATTTAATTTATATTTTATTTTATATTTTTTTGGTAATTTTATTTGAAAAATTTATAAAATATCTTTTTTTAAATATTTGTAGTATCCATGGATACCTGTGGGTATTTTTTAAACGGGTATCTAGGAGTAACGGGGTAGGTAACAAATGAATTTTTTTATTGCGGATAGACATTATTCGTGTCTGGCCCGATCCGTTGTCATTCCTAGTCCACAACCATAACAATCACCTCAATTAATAATAAACAATATTATAAATATACATCAATTTAATCACATATTTATTTCAAACAAGTAAAGAAGGAGAACAAATCCAACATACAAATTAATGTTCAGATGTGCTACTTAGCACCAAACCTTCCACAAAAAGTGGCACTCAGTGACAACTATGGCGCTCAGTGACAGCTCTAGCACTCAGTGACATCTCTAGCACTCAGTGACAATTATGGCGCTTAGTGACAGCTCTGACGCTCATTGACAACTCTGACGCTCATTGACAGCTCTGACGCTCAATGAGAACTCTGGTTCTCATCGATATTGTTCTTACAAAAGTTGTCCTCAG